AAGCAAGGGACGAAGCTCAGAGGTGTGCTCGCTCGCCTGCCGTGCTCAGGGCTCTGACTTTGATCCTCAGCACCACAGAAACTGGTGTGGGGGTGCAGACCTGAAATCCTAGCGCCAGGGAGGTGGAAGTGGAAAATGAGCCCTTTAAGGCAATCCCTAGCTACAGTACAAGTTGGAGGCTAGCCTGGGATGACATCTTATCTCAAAAATACCAAACAAATAACAAACCTCAAACCAGAGTGGAGCAGTGCAAAACATAGAGAATTAGTCTTACAATTTTTGTGAATTTCATAAGCAATAACGCCTACTTCATTATTTTAATTTTTCTGTTTATAAGATAAAAATCTTACGATCTTATTACTTTAAAATTATCTATGTCTCTTTGTATATATGTGTACCTTGTTTTATATTAAATAAATGAACCCTTGAGGCCCATGTCATCTTCAGGTCTCTGAGATATATGTGTTATCATTTATAAAACGGGGTGACCCAAGGCCTCAGCAGGTCCCCTGGGGAGACTGCTCGGAAGACAGACAGATAGATATGCCATGCAGAGAGAGCTTGGGTATAGAGTTTATGTAGTGGGTTATGGAGGGAGAGGGGAAAGGAAAGAAGAAAGAGAGGCAGGAGGTCCTCTTGCCTCAGTGGAAGGAGGAGATTGGGAGTAGGCGGGGCTTGTCTCCTAAAGGGACAGGGTACCAGGTGATAGGCAAGGCTAGCAGATTACAACAATATGGCTTTGAGCATACTGTTTTGTCCATTAAATTCAGAGAAATCATGTCCATTGTGGACTGTAGCTTATATGTGTTTCTCAGTAGGTGGGGCCCAAATGTGTTACCTTTATTAGAGTGTGGGTGCAATTGATGCCCACTGTGTGGGGGTGTCGTGCTTGCTCACTGTTAAAATCAGGTGGTTTGATTAAGTGGTTCCCTTCAGGAAAATCTTCCTATATCTTTCTTAGACAAGCACATAAAGATACATGCATGGGGTGTTCATTACTTTTAATAATTTAAAAAAATCAAAAAGTACCTTAACATTAATGAGGAAACTAACAAAAAGACATTGTATAAAATGATACAGTGTTCAAAATACAGAAATATACTTCTGCAGAGACGGTCAGGACAGTTTGTCTAGCCAGTCAGGCAGCCTGCATCACTGCGCCCATGCCTCGGCTCTCCGTGTGGTTTCTGTGGACACGCAGGTAGTTACTGCACTGTAGGCAATCGAGGTTTTGTGGTAAGTTGTTAAAAACTGTTCTTTGAAGGCAGGGGATGGTTGGGCAGGGTGAGAAGGATTGGGGAAGAATGAGCTTTTCCTTATATGCCTTTTAACTGAAATCTTAATAGGCATTTATTTTATGGGAAACAAGCAATGAAATGTGGGAAACAAGAAATGAAAAGGACATTTCAGTGCTATAGAAACTTTCAACACTTTAAATGTTAGAGTGTGACAAGTGGCTTCTGGCGTCCCTGTGCCTGCTAAACTTCCTGGAAACACAGCTGGATGTGAAGGTTTATTGTGGGTTGGGAAGAGGAAGGAAGCAGGAACAGAAGTGGGGAGGCTCCGGTGGGTACCACACTCTGGCTAGCTCTGGAGGATCCAGGATGCTGCTTTCAGAGAAGCCCTCCCAGGCCTATAGAAGAGCCTGCACTCAGAGCGGCTTGTCTTCTCCACTGAACATTACCAGGCCCTCCCACGCAGGTCCTCTGCCAGGCCATCTTGTTACTCTTCTACCTCACTAGTGACGTTTTAAGATGCGGTCCCCTGAATCAGATACTTCAGGTGGGTTGTCTCTCATCTGAAAGGCTTGGGGCTAAAAGTTTAGAGTATTTTCATATACATAGTGAGATATCACAGGCAGGTCTCAAGTCCAGACATAGAGCTCATTTCCAGTGTATGTTCGTTTTACGCTCATAGCTGAAGGCATTTTGTATAACACCTATAGTAACTGTACTTGAAGCACAAGTTGCTGGTGCACAGTTTTCTGTCTGATACCATGTCAGTGCTGATAAACTTGTGAGAACTGGAACATTTTGGCGGGGGATTGGATTTCTGGGCTAGGGATGCCCAGCCTGTTACCCTCCACATGCAACAGCCCTTCCTAGGGAACACTGCCCTTAAATATCTCAAAACCTCTGCTCTGTATTTTCCCTTAGAAGTACTCCCTCCACCTTGTCGTTTCCCCACCGTTACCATCTTCCAGGTTTCCAGCCTGGGAGCTTTACCTGTATGTTTCTTCCTTCCTCCTCAGATGCTTCCTAAAACTGTTTGTGGGTCAGTGACTCTCTTACCGAGGAAATTCTTGCCCGTCTCTCAGGTTTCCACTGCGGGAGTGTGCTAGTGTAGGGACTCAGATTATGGCCTGTGGTGCCCGTCCTCGCGTATGATGCCCTCCTTGCCTTCTAGTCTTTAACATGCTGAAAGGAAAAAAACCCTAAAAATTCGGATGTCTTTAGTTTTCTCTGGATGAGTGTTTAAGGCATTTCCTGTAGTTAACCACTCAGCTACGGTGATGGTGGTGGACTAGGAGGCTTCAGAACCACCACAGGCTCCAGATAAGCAGACATCGCCTGAATCCTGCTCCCTCACCCTTCTGGAAGCTACTGTTGTGTCTACCCATTTGTAGTCACTTGTGGATACTTCAGAGCCTCTACCCACCCTTCCTTGGCTGACCTCCCTATCTCCCCTCCCACCCCAGCCACCTTTCGCTGCTGAGCTCTGCCTGCTGATTCTTCTCCCTTTGCTCTTAGCGACATTGATGCCACTGCCGGCTTCTCTTCACTCAGATTTTTGTTGTTGTTGTTGTTACTGTTGTTTCTGACTGTCATCTGCCATTATTTGCCTGGTTAGAGCCATAGCATATAGTGACTTCTCAGATGGTATCATTTCCATTGAGAGAATACTGGCTTTGTATTTTCGAGTCACCTAATTAACTGGCCTTGCAGAGCCCCGGGAGCATAGGAGCTGTGAAAACACAGGGGGGAAATGTGTGTTTGAGCAGACGAAGTACAAAAAGTTTCTTTCCAGGTGAATGAATTAGAAAATGGCCTTCTTGCCCAGACGAGGAAGCGTAGAGACCCTAGTTTCAATGGGGACTAGGTTTTAGACATAGTGGGATATAACCATGCTGCTGCTTGTAGCAGGGTTTAAAAGTTCATGTAACAACAGACTCCTGTACTTTATGGCTACACTTTGCCTCACAAGTTCCAAACTTGTGGTCTAGGGGTTCTTGGGTGTATCCCTTCTACACCACTACCGGTTTGGTCGTCCTCTCTGGCTCCTTCGAATCAGTTTGGTCATAGCATGGATCCCATTGTAGAATGCAAGTCAGTCAGTTTTAATGAATTTATTGCTGAGCAGACATTACTATGGTCTGTTTGTCGAGCATCCCCACCGCTTGGTGAGGTTCCTAGCCCCAGATGGGTGTCCATCATTGTTCAGCAGTCAGTTGCAGTAGCTAGCATAGCAGTGTCTCTTCCTATTGGTGGTTTAGCAGCTCCTACCTTTGTAGTTATTTTTGGTCTTCTGGCCATTTTTAATAATTTTTTAAACAAGGACTTTGGGATTAGTTGCTGTGGAATTCATTCTATTTCTGGAATTTCTGCTTACTACCGAGAGTTTGTTCAGGAAGCGTTTTAGATTGATAGCCTGCATTGTAGAGTATTATCGCTCTCTGTTTTCCTATTATGTATTCTTGGCCAGGAGCATAGCATATGGTTATTACATCATTGCTGTAGGAAATTTATTCTACTTGTATTTATATGCCTCAGGTATTTCTCTAAACTTGTGAGGCATAAAGCCACAAGCCTTCAGTCTTCCACTTTTAGTGCTTCCGTGGGAGCCGTTTAGTCAGTTCAGTTGTCCCCTGGGGAGGCATTGCTTATCCTGTTTCAGTTTAAGACTGTTGACTTTGAACACCGTGACTGTTTAATCCATGTGGTTCCTGGCTTTCAGGAGACACTGGATAGTCGTGCACACCAAGGTCTCTACTTCTTTCTTGTTGCCTGGACTCTAAAGTCCTCTGTGGCGTCACAAACTGGGCACAGGCCACTGCTGAAGCAAAATACCACCCTCCTGTCACAACCCTGGCAAGGCAGAAACATTTATGGAGAACATTGATTGAGAGCTCTGGGTCTTCACATGAATTCTGGATCAGTCCTGGGGTTGCCATGTGCACACATACCCGAGTTTTCGTTTGGTCTCGGAATGTGTAGTGATTAGTTCTAGAGACTCTTGCTGTTCTTACACACATTTTCATTTTACTATGTACGTTGTTTATGACTTTCAGTTTCAGTAGAAATGCTTGACTGAGGTCTTTTATCTAAGCTTAGCTGGGCTGTGGTAAGCAGGGCTGGGGAGACTCCCTGGGCTCACAGGGAGGACGGCCTGGCTTGTGTGTCTGTGAAATGACCTCTTGGTGAACGGAGAGATTCCTGATGGCGGGAGAGTCAGGCTCTTCTTGCTGTACTCAAGGCTTGAATCAGTTTGCTGCTGAGCTGGTTTCTGAATGGCAGCTTATAAAAACTTTAACTTTAGTTTAATTTTTCCCCAATGGTTCCAAAATCGGAAACAGTGGGATTTAACTCACTGAGTTTTGGTTTCATATTTGCCTTTCCCTTATTCATGGACACTAAGGTCAGTGTTAATAGTCAAAGACAGTCTGCATTTGCATACCAGCTGTTGCATTCTAGCTTTCTTCATTTACGCACGAAATGGCTTTCAGTACAAACGCATAGAGAGCTAGTGCTTTCATCTCTTGAAAGGAAGCCGTTTCTTGAGTTGTTGCCGTTGTTTTGGGACAGAATCTTTCTGTGCAGCCCTGGCTGTCCTGGAACACTCCATGTAGACCAGGCTGGCCCCAAACTAGTTGTTTATTTCTGGTTGTGATGGTAGTTGCTTACTTCTGTGTTGCATTTTCCCCAGCTAAGCCACAAACTAGCGCAAACAGAAAGAGTGTGGTCTTTCCTCACCACAGCCTGGCAGAGCTGTGTAAGATCTCTTTTCTGGGTTGTGTTTTGCAGGTGGGGAGTTTTAAGAGAGAAATGACCTTCACATTTCAGCCTGAGGACTTAAGGCGCGAGTCCAGCCGGAAGACTTCTCACCACTTGTTCCCGCTGGCCATGGAGGAAGACGTGAAAGCAACGGACACTAAAAAAGCCAGCCGGATCCTTGAGCAAGAGAAAGAAAACACTCGATCCATTTGTCTCCTTGAGCAGAAGCGGAAAGTGGTTTCCTCTAACATCGACGTCCCTCCTGCAAGGTAGGGACATCTCACGTGGTTCACTGCTGCTGCACTCCATCTTGTTCCACAGGGTGTACGCTTGGCAAGAGTTGTCTCTCGGGTTGTCTGTCTCTTCTGGGAAGTAGAGCTGGCGTTGATGCTGCCATAGTTGAAACTGTTGTAGCCATAGAAAACGTTACTGTGTCTTTGACAGAAGTAACTGCAGGAGCATTGACAGAATGATGCATACTATGTAAGGCTGGTGACACGTGGAGGCAAGTGCGCGTAGATCCTAGGTGAGAGGCTGCCAAATCATGTCTGTAAGCTACAGTTCGCCTCTTTGTGGGACTGCGAGAAGAGAGAAGTTTAACAATTCCAACACTTTCTTAAAAGAAGGTGACAGTGGTACAGGCCATTAGTGACCCACAGAGTCCTCAGTGTGTCAAAATGTTCAGTGGTGTCTAGCTGATGTCATCTATGTCTTTTGTAAGATTTATCTCGACAAGGGAAATGGCTCAGTGGGTAGAGCTCATCCTGAAAACATAAGGACCCGAATTTCCAAGCCCAGCTCTTCTGCAGCGCAGTTGAGGGTTGCCAGAAGTTCATGGGTGGCTAGCATGGTGTGCGTGTCACTGAACAGCAGGTTGTGTTCTGAGGTGCACATCAATGCACTCTGTGGGACACACATGCACACACATGCACTTGCAGGATAGAGGAACATTAGCCACGGTGAAGAGAGTTTGTCATGTTATAATTCTCGTTCAACTTTGTTCTCTCACACCTTCCAGCCTGCAGTTTCTCCTCCCTCCTCTCCCCTCTTCTTTTCAGTTTCTCTTCATTCCTGCCTAGTGGTCTGAAGGGTATTCCTGTGGCAGAATGGACGCAGAGTAGAACACCTGTCTGTTGCAGGAGGGCCTGTTTATCCATCCCGGCTGCCCGGCTCGCTTAGCCCCGAAATGACCATATAGAAACTGTATTAATTAAATCACTGCTTGGCCCATTAGCTCTAAATTCCTACTGGCTAACTTCTACAACTTAGTTTAACACATTTCTATTAATCTGTGTATCACCGTGAAGCAGTGGCTTACCGGCAAAGTTTTGGCATGTCTGACTCTGGTGATGCCCTCGCTTCCCTCTCTCTCTTATCCCCGCATTCTGCCCAGTTCCGCCCCCCCCCCCCGCCCCCCTCCTGCCTACCTAAGTTCTGCCTTATCAACAGGCCAAGGCAGTTTTCTTTATTCGTTAACCAATGAGAGGAACACACACAGAAGGACCTCCCACACCACCTGTCCTTCCTCTTTCTAAATGTATCCAGAACACACAGACACACACACACACACACACACCCTGTTATTCCTGTTCCTGATTCTGTATCCAGCCTTATGTGAAAAGCATACAGCACACACGCACACACACGCACACACACGCACGGGGGGGGGCCCCCCCCCACACTCATATACACACACTCACATGCATGCATACACTCACGCACACCCTGTTATTACACTTAGTGATTCTGTATCCTGCCTTATGTGGAAAGCACCTAGCATGCACACAAGCGTGCGTGCGCATACACGCACACGCGCATACACACACATACCCCAACTTCAGGACTTGGAGACCATTTTGTTCATCCTCTGTCTCTGGACTAGAACAATGCCAAGTGGGCATTAGGGAGAGTCTGTGGGCACGTGTCAGATGAGGAAGGAATGGGAGTGCTTGCTCTGCATGGCAGGTTGTTTATTATTAACACGTGCGTGTTCTCCAATTTGATGCCGGAAATGATTATCATGAAACTTGATAAGCAGTTGCTTGAGAAGTCCTGCATTTATTCACATACTTTCTGACAGCTTATGAGGAAAATGGTACCTGGGGGCTGGGAATGAATGGCCCTTCCCACCTGCTCATGTTCTGTAATTAACATTTCCATTGTTTTCTGTATTAAGTAGAGGGCATATCTTCTCTAGGAAATTACATGTTACCCTATCCAGATGCCACATCACCAGACTTTTTAAAATTATAGGCCTCTTTGTTTAACCTCTAATTGCCAATTTCGTATATCTCTTCCGTCTGTTCAACTATTTGTTATTATTTGCTTTTCTATGATTTTTATATCAAATACTTAATTAAGTTATTAAGGATTAGTTTTCACTGTGGCTTCATTGTGAAATGTTTTATAGGCCCCGAAGCAGGTAGACATGTTGATTCATATGTATGCTTGGCTGACTCATTTGATAAATGACATGTTAGCAACTTGACAGAGAAGAACTGTGAGTTTGTGTGCTTCCCACGTCTGTCTGAAGTTTGGGGGTGACTTGGAGGCCTATAGGACCCACCTTACACACCATTGCCCGTGGAGTCTTTCATATGTAGTAAAAGACCTGGAATTAATTACTTTATATTCTCAGGTTGTTGTAGGATATATCTTTACTTTGGTTTTGCATAAGGTCTCATGTAGCCCAGACTAGTATGATGCCTTCCCCTCCTAAGCACAGATTGTAGGTCTGTGCCCATGCCCAGTTTATGCCGTGCTGGGAACAGAACCCAGGGCTTTGTGTGTGCTAGGAAAGCACACTACCAACTGAAGCACATGTCAGCCCTGCGTGTTTGTACTTCAGCTTGATTCCACCTCTAGTGCTGTCTGGAAAAGGGGGGAAGAAAATACTCCTGCTTTTCTGTTTTCTAATGCAGGTCTCCAGGGCATTCCACTCTTTGCAGCCGTTAGACGTACGCAGAAGCTCACTGCACAAGCCAATATTGTCGTGAGCTCTTAAACAGTAAGGATAAAATTAATTGGGTTTTAAATCATCAATATGTAGAGAAAAATTCCCCACTGACAAGGTGTAATTTCGATGAATTAATCTGCTATGAGAAGTGCTATTTAAAGTGTCATGGTGTGGGGTCTGCACTAATACACTTGTTTTCATTGTTGCAGCAAAAATGTAATCATCATAAACATCTAACACTTGGTGAAACAAATTGCTTTTTTAATCAAATAGTCATGAAGGAATCAAGTTCTGCAGAATGTAATTCCCAAACGTTTTCTCCTGCTTGTTTACCCTCATTAAGTTATTTAGTAAATGTTCACTTTTGACCAAGTAGATTGATACTTTGTGGTAGGAAACTTTCAGTCACATGGTAAAAAGGAACAAGATTTTTCTTTCTGCTTCCTAAAAGAGAGATAATTACAGCTGTCAGAAATATCTGCTGATGTTTGAGTCAATCTGGAGTGTGGTGAAATGTATTAGAATGGAGAAGTCTGTATGTCTGTCATTAAATATGACCTGTAATTAGTGTGTAATCCACACGTGTGTGTCTGTCTACATGTTTACTACAGCTCCCTCTCCCTCTTCCAGACTGTGTTTTGGATGCTCGTAGAGCAGGCGGTTGGTTTAGGCTGTTAGTGTCACTGGCGCAGAGCTCCTGGGCAAGCTAAGATCACCTGTAGTGTTTCTTATTTAATCTGTTCCTTGTTCTTCAACTTCCTCTAGTTTATAAAAGGAAACGTGAAGTTTATTCCCCGTAGTTCATACATGAAAGCAGTAGGCGTGTATATGTTAACTGTTTTTCCATATCTCTGGGGAGGTCTGGGAATCCTGTCAAACCTGATCTCTGTGACCCATTATTGAATTTTCTGATTTCATGTCTTTCCTCCATCAGCAGGTATCTACTGAGTCCCTGTACTAGTGATATAGGACTTGCTAAAACATGAATGGGAGAGGTGCTCCCCTCCAGAAGCTTGTAGTGCAGTGAGACAGATGGACTCATAAATAACTAAGTCCAAGAAACCATTTAGTATTGTCTGTCTGCCGTTTCATCGGAACTGGGTGAATTTATAACTATAAGAAAGGCTTTAGTGTTAGGAGAGTGATACATTTGTATGCCTATTTAAAAGCCCGCTTTTCTATTGTTAGTGTCCCTTTGAAGATAAGAAGAATGGAATGGAGAAGGAAGAACTTCAAACCTGTGGTCTGTTTTACACATTTTTTAAAAATGCCAGTTTTCTGAGAGCCATCTGAAGGTTGTTAGTATCAGAAAGTATAAGTTTATTATCCCAGCTATGTTATGTTTGGTCACCTGAGAAGCAAGAGCCAAAACAGAATTCAGCACACAAGCAATTTATTAGGGGAAGTGCTTGTGGGAAGGTGGGGGAGCAGGGCAGGGCAAGGCCAGTGCGGGAAGGACTGCAGGAAGGGTGACTGACCGTGTGCTGGCAGCCTCACAGCCCATTCGGAGAACTTTCCTGTGTCTCTCTGCTCAGAGCAGCTTGTGATGCTTGGGACCTAGGCGAGTTCAGTAGATGCTTTTGGAGCCCAGCTCTGGTCCTGGGTCAGTTAGCGCTGTTCTCCTGACCGTCTCTCCTCCTGGAACACTGTCCTAAGTGTCCTCTGCAGTGTAGGCTGGAGGAAGGGCTGGACTGGCAGCCCAGACTGTCAGTACAGGCCATTTGCAGCCTTTCTTATGCTAGAGTACCAAGCTTCGTATGAACGAAAGCAGTAATGACTGCTGGTTCAAGCATTGCAAAGAGTTGTACTTTTGAGTAACCAGAGGAAAGGTGTCTGTCTCCCTTCTGAGCCGCCTCGATGGGCAGAGATGATGTTAGGAGAGCCCCTTGCTGTGGGACCCGACCAGTGTGGTCTGAGTGGTTTCAGGAAGAATCTGTGTTTCATTGGGGGGAGCGATAAGGAACGTTAGACTCCATTGAGAATTGAAGTACTCTGTTTCTCATTACCCCACGTTCTTCAGAAGGTAAAACCAAGCCTACGAGAGTGAGAGCGGATGGAAAAGCAGGCATGGCAGTATTGGTTTAAATCAAGGGCATGAGTGCTGAGTTGATGCCACCTGTGCAGATGGCGGTCTTTGTCACGTGGCCTGCTCACAAAAGACAAGACCTGACCTCTACTGAACAAGCAGTTGTGAATTGAGAACAAGGAATGAGCTAATTTAAGTATGAATCCTTAAATAGTTTAAGGTGTCTCTAAGAGGAAATGTAGGCTTCATTGATCTTTAGGGAAAGTTGAGGAAAAGAAGCTTTACGA